GAATTTGGGTTTCCGGGACATCCTCCAGCTCCACCCATTTTTTCCAAAGAATTCGTAAAAAATTCAGAGCTTTGTATATTGTTGGTTTTTTCTATTTTTTATATGGAACGAACACTGCTCTTTCAAAGGAAATTATAAAGCTGTCAATTAAAGGCTGGAAAGACCCGCAACACTTCAAGGAACAGACCGACATTTTGTTTGGACACCCAGTACGCTACGTGTAAGCCAATAATAGGAGAGGTCAACTGCTCACTCACTGTGTACAGCACATAGCCATGCTCAGTAACCATGCCCATGACTCACGAGTGCCCTCAAAATATTCAGAATTGTGGTTTGCGCTAAACTACATACATAAATCGCTTACCTGCATACGCGTTGGACGTCCCGCTTGCGCGTAAGCTGACACAGAGCAATTGAACAACCCTAGTATTAAATTTTAAGAATTATAATAAGCATTCTCTCCACCTTTTCATTTTCGTCCAGCTAGAGCAGGATCCTTTCAGTTTGAGCAACTGGAGTTTCGTAGGCACCACTTTCATTACATTAGTCGTGCAAATTATGTCGATTCGTAGCACCAACGCATCAGCGACGGTAAAGGTAATATTATTATCTTAATTTTTAATCGTCTACAGAGTGTTCATTGTGGAGCAGTGTTATGGAAGTATCGCAAACTCTGCCGATTTGTCATGTGGAGATCAATTGTCGAGTTCAAAAAGGATTTTTACCTTTCGATTTCCGTCTGCACCAGGAAGCGGAAGCGAAACTGCCTGCTATGCTACAAGCGACTCTGACCAGTAGCACCAAGATCCTCACACTCAGTCACTTCATCCCCAACCATTACCAAATTTGTCAGCTAATCAAGATCTTCGAAATCAATCGTGTATCGTTGTTGTTGTTGTGCCTGAAGTTGTGCCGCTAAACGTTTTAAAAGTCGGACTTTCGGGCGGATCAAAGCAGGGCCTGTATAATACATGTATATTATAATTATGTATACTTCTACTCACAATCTCTGACGGCCTGAACCGTCGTAGAGCAAGAGTAACGATATAACTTTCGTTTGTTCGAATCAAGCGATTGTTATCGGAAGAGAGACGACAACGTTCTCGTATTATTTTATGAAATACTGTAGCTTTCTTATTTCGTTTCGATCCGCCAGGTATTGATTATCGCGTAATAGCAACCAGAATGATTTTGTGCTCGATTGTAGAACTTCACCAGCGGTGCTCCGACGACGGTTCAGTGTGGACGCCCATAGACATAGTCATACATCATTAATTACATGTTTAATTAGAATCCATATTTTAGCAGTGTATTCTATGTAAACTGTAATCACCACGAGAATGTGGCTCGTTGTAGGTTCCAGAAGCTCTCTACTACGGAGCCCACACGTCTTAGGTCACTTCTACGTGAACATAGCGAATATGACTTGCAAACGTTGGACGTTGGCAGTCTAAATCATTTGATCCTGGCGGTTTTGGATGGAGTGTGCAGCGTCATCGCTATCGAATTGTATCGCCGATTTGCCGGTGTGGCTTACCAACCATAATCCACGCCGACCGAAATCCAAGCCTGAATCGCCTTTCTGGACGGCTGCCGACACCCCTCGCCATTATGTTATTTATGCGATTTGTAGGCTCCACGGGTTTGAAAAAGGTTTTTTCATGAAGTACAGATCTATGAGCTCTAGACATAAAGCCTTAAACATCTTAATTTTGTTATGGATCGGCATTCGGCATGCAAATTTTGGCCACTAAGGAGACGTTTTTTAAGGATAGTTTTAGTTATCTGTCAAATAACTATCGTTGAGTTTTATCTCTTTTGGATTTGTTGATTCGCTTCTCTGGTATTCTTGTATCTGTACTGCAGCATTCGATAACATGACATCTTTTCGACCATGTTTTGGAATTCATAGGTCTGTTTTTTATGTATATGTACAAATGTGCATAACGCGACGACAATGTTTTGCCACTTGCTGCGTCTCGATGGCTGTCTGCATTGCCAGTTAAGATCATTTACTTCTCTTCCGTATTTCATCGCTTTACTTCTGTATAAACTTGCTACTAGACCAGAAGTGGAAGCGTAGTTCTTCTTGGTGCCTGGATTGTAGAACTACTTACCGGTATTTTGCGAGATTCTGAAATCAAGTGCGTAAATGCAGCACAACTATAGGAGAGGTCCACTGCTCAGTGCGCTAACCGGTACGCATCGTCGTTATAGCGGCAAAAACTGTAAAAATGCGTAATATAACTCCTTCGACAAATTGGCTATTACGGCTCCCCTTGACATTCTTCAGTATATACCGGCTACCTCCAGCGGTCTCCAATAGTCTCCAATGGGAAGGTGCCACAGTCGTAAGTGTAATTTGTCGCTGCTGTGGAGCCGTCAGCGTTGCCGATTGCTGCGGCCGAACGATTCACAATTCGCAAAGTGTCCGATTATGAGGCGAAAGTTATAGAGTGCTGTCGCTTTGGCAGTCTTCTGCCCGTAACAATCGTCCGCACCCACGTGGACTGTCATCAGTCGATCACATTCACGACAACGCCAGTGTGAAGAAGAAGCACCCAAAAATTGCGAAAGGAAAACAGAGCTTACGGGAGGAACGGGAGGAGCGGCGGGAATATTGAACGGACACCGACTAGGGCCGAACGTCCGCTGCGGCATGATTTCCACTTCATACACCGACAAGCTTAGCAAATCCCGGAGAATAACATCAGCAGCAGAAGGAGCGGTGCACGGAGGAGGAAGCGATGCGGGAGACGGCTGAAGGTCATTCTCGCCGGTTACGAAAGTAATTTTACCACACTGGATGCAGAGGTCAAGAAGAAGAGAAAGGACTAGATGCGGGCAGGGCGCGAACGGTGTTGAGTAGCGACTGTACCAACGAGCAGTTGCAAGTGCAAAGCGTCCTCATTCTGCGAATACCCATCTGGTAGTACAAACATATAACGAGTAGTATTTCCCCCGGCATCTGACGACTTCAGATCAGTTCAAGAAAGCTAGACACGTGTCACGAAGATTTGGTGTTCCTGAATGGTTGCGTCGTTGACTGTGTTGAAAAGATTTGGATTACTTCATTCCTGCTTAAACATTTTTACAAATAAAAGGGACTGACTTTAGCACAGCCCGTATATACTTGCTGCCGTCAGCCGGCTGGTATTTTTCGTTGTAGCTAAACATGGTGTTTATGAACCGTATGTATTACTGGATGGAGCTTTTAAAGAATAATGTCGTTTGTTGAACCTGGTTAGGTGGACAACACGGAAATTAGAGCCATAATAAGCAAAATTACCGCATATTAGTAAACCCATTGCTCAGCGATTACGGGTTTGCGGTGTCATGGGTGATGGCGTTACACCGGAAACAGGCGTGTCGCTCTAACGCCTTAACTCAAAGTGATATATACTGTTATGCGATATTGTGTTTGGAAATGCAGCTAACATTCACGGAGTTTCCCTTGAAATTATTTTACATTAATAAAAACTTCACATGCTTAGTATTTTTTAAGTCGATCATGGCAATGTCCAAGTATGATAAGAAAGTCACCTTCTATCATCAATAAAAACTCCATGTATTACCGTACCGGCATCACGCAGTAGTAAATAGTTGTGCTAACCGCCGCTTTTACATCATTCACCGCCATTACCGCGTCAGTATTCAAAGCCTAGACGATCTGTAAAACTTCGAATTCCTCGATGCGGCATTATTGTGGGTACGCTATGCTCCCAGTCGCACACGCTTTACATTTCGCCACTTCATTCTCAACCATTACCAAATTTGTCAGTTAATCAACACATTCAAAATCAATTGTGTATCGATGTTGTGGTTGCGCCTGAAAGACTGAGAAGAAGAAACGAAAAACGCTCTGCAGTAGGCATCGCCTTGGTTTTGGCATCGAAGCGAGGAAGACCTTCCCGAGCACTGGTACGACGACAGCTGAGGGGAAATCGCTCGACGTTATCAGTAGGAATGCTGTCGAAAGTTATAAGTGCAATGCGTAAGTGCAATGTAAGTGCAATGTGCAAAATAGGGCATTTCCGGAACCCTGTATAACAATATAAATAACTTATCACTTACACCAAAGTCCAACTACGGACTACGGAGCATGCTCCGCGCTGTCCGACGTTTATGCACCTCTAGCTCGTCAGTTTGTTTTGCTCGCTGAATCTTGGTTTCTGCAACTTTGTATAGTAGCTAAAAAACGCAAACAAAAAACTGCAAGACCACAAATGAAAAGTTGACAAGTAATCAGTTCTGAAAACACGGTGGACGAGGGTATTTAGGAATAATGTGGTTTTTGAATTGTGTGTTATGGAAAACTTGACTATACGCTACTTAAAGCTATTTTAAGCAAAGTTACGAGTATATAAGTACTAGTTTATACATACGGCTTACAAGGAAAAAAAATTAAGTTTTCGCAAAGCACCAAACATGTAGGGATGCGCATGCCTATACTACGGATTCCACCTGGACGTTCTACCTCTCTTTTAGGGCAGTACAAGCATACGGGCCGCATTTTACGGGAGGATTGTCCCATCACTCGCATGATTTGTCATGTCGACCGGTTTCGGACGACTTCGAATCAGTTGAGGAAAAACTACAGCTGTAGTAGATAGATTTTAGATTTATTGTTGTGCGTCAGTTGAATCGTTAACTTTATTAAAACTGACCCAGAATGGAGCGGAGCATTACTAAACTGTTTCATTCTTACTTATTCATTTTCACAAATAAAAGTTTTCTTATAGTACAGCATGCATTCAGCAGCTTCACAACAAGGGATGCGTAGGGGAGCATGATTTGGTAGTTCACAACTTCACATAGCTAGTCTAGGTTCTTTTGTCGATTAATAATGGAATCAGCAAGTTAAAACAGAATAAGCTAGAAACATGTCGATATTTTTCGGTTTCAACGAGGTTACAAGGTTACGAGGTGAAAAATAAGGCAATTCCCGGAACTACATAGTACAAGGAGGTGTTATCTACAGAGAGGACTACTGACCGAATTCGACGTAATGATTCGTGAATGCCTTTCGGCAATCACCAACGTGAACATCACCGACGTGAACTGGGTGCAGGCATCCCTTCCAGTTGCAGAAGGTGGTCTCGGTATCCGGAGTATTGAGAAGCTTGCTCTTCCGGCCTTCTTGGCCTCGGCTTACTCAGTGACCCGACTGGCAACCGAAATAACCGACTTCGATCCGGAAGTGTACTGCGGCACCGCCGAAGCTGAGTGGCAGCGTGTAACGGAAGCCGATCTTCCAGCTGTGGAAGCCCGAAAATTTCAGAAAATGTGGGATGAACCAGTCATCCAAACTTCCGTGAAGATGCTTTCTGAAAAGGCCCAGTCCGACATTTCTAGCCAAGCACGGCTCCTGGGTGTTAGCACCAAGGACAACGGAGCATGGCTGGATGCACTTCCAGCTGCATCACTGGGAAATCTCCTGAACGACTCTGCATTAAGAATCGCTGTTGGCCTGCGTCTTGGAACACCGATCGTTACTCCGCACCGATGCATTTGCAGTGAATGGGTGGACGCACGAGGCTACCACGGCTTGAGCTGTAAGAAAAGTCGGGGCCGGAAGTCACGACACAGCAGCTTAAACGCGACGCTCAAACGAGCCTTCGCCTCCGCCACCATTGAGACTGAACTCGAGCCTTTGGGTATATCGCGAACCAACGGCAAACGCCCAGACGGAGTCACCTTAGTGCCATGGGAACGAGGCAAGATGTTAACATGGGATGTGACATGTGTATGTACAATGGCCTTATCACATATCGCAGCAACATCCACGCAAGCCGGCGCAGCAGCGGCTCAGGCCGAACGGAAGAAAATCGGGAAGTACCAGAACATCACGCAGGACTACCTGTTCCGTGCGGTGGGCGTCGAGACATTGGGACCACTCGGACCGGGAGCATCCCAGCTAATCACTGAAGTGGGCAAGATGATTCGTCAGGAAACAGGCGAGGTACGCGCAACGGAATATCTGCGCCAGAGGTTCAGCATCGAAGTCCAACGGGGAAACGCGGCATCCATCCTGGGAACGGCACCAGCCACGGCTAATTTAGATCAAATGTTCTCTGTAATTCGGCCGCCTGTTTCCGCTGTTTGTTAAATTCGTAATGTAATGTTTCTTTTGTGGATGTTAGATTACTTACTTTGTATTCGCTCATCAATAAAAGTACCCCAGGAGGTGCTTACACAAATGTCTGACTACGAAGCAGGTGTTATACGTACGTATCTGTACCAACGTACAGTGTCTGTAGATACCAATCCCTTATATCGTTATAGCATGTTGGAACCTTTTGACGACTGTCCGCTTTAACATAAGCTATCGGTAATCGCAACAATGGTCACTGCACCATTTGGCTCCGAACGCCGGTAGAAATTAGTATGCCTTTTCGTTGCTCATAACAATTCCGCAGAACTGACCTTTTGCCCGCCTGAAACTTTGTCTAGATAGTTGAATACATTATACATACATCTTGGAGCGAATGAGATCCGAAATTGCTAAGAAAACTTTCGCAATAGAGCCTCACACCAGGCAGTCCGCAGACTAATAGTTTTGACGTACTTACTGTTTGTATGTGGTAGTCGCATTAAAGTTTTTACACTGCACTCTGTATCCAGCTGCGCTGTGTTACTGTTTATTGACATCACCCACTTTTTCATCTGTCTTATGATAACTTAAGAAACGTGACATTCAAAATTTTTTAAAATGGTAAACCTCTCCAAACTACCACAACACCTGCTTGCCGACATTTTTTCTCATCTGGACATTCACCACCAAGGAAGAGCCCGAAGGTAAGAGCAGTATTTCGGCAGTGCATATTTTAATACTAAACAATGCTGGCTGACATTTTAACTAAACGAGCAGGAATTAGGTGTACAGATAGCGATCCACTCAGGGTTTCGGTTTAATTTTATTTCCGAAAAACACCACGGCTGTGTTACTTGAGTACAACTTACAAGTACCGATTTTGGTAGTTTCCTGAATGTTGCATCATGGCGCTTCCACTTTTCCGTTATTTTGATTATGTGTCCCCCAATCCCTCTATATTAAATTTCTTAGCTATTGAGATGCGGCAATCTAGAAGTTTGAGCGTAGTTCTGCTTTTGCAAATGACATGTACGAGTCTGGATATCGAAATTAAATGTGCCATTGATTGGAAAGGTCAGCTGCTTTGTGTAGTTGTAAGCGAGCCGGGTCGGGCACAACAGACAAATTCTAGCAAAACTTAGCAATAAAGCATAAGGTCAGCGTACTTGGGTGCCAAGAAGGAACCGAACATTGAAGTGGATGTCCTGCGGCGAGTCACACTCACAATTCGGAATTTGCGATAAGCAAGCGGCCAGTACCCATGCTATAGATAGCATGACTTGGAGGCACCGCGTCCTGCGTCTGAAAGGGATACTTGCCTCTTTCGCCTTGCGAAAAACTGCACGCGCAATGGACCGACCACGGGCAGACACAGGGCAGACCAATTTCTCCCTCCTCCTGTGTCTCCTCGCGTGCCTCGCGTGCCTGTGCCTCCTGTGTTTTACATCGCGTATGCGCATGACCACTACCGGACTCCGCATAGTCACTTTTGTGAGTCGGGCCCGTGCCTGTGGGAGCAGGCCATGTCTTAGAGATAATACCTGATTTGCGATAAGCCGCCGATCAAGAGAGCAGGCGCACAAGCCGGGCGCAGGGGCCATAAAAAGTAATTAAAAAGTAATTAAGACGCTGCTCTCTAAGACATGGCCTGCTCCCACAGGCACGGGCCCGACTCACAAAAGTGACTATGCGGAGTCCGGTAGTGGTCATGCGCATACGCGATGTAAAACAACGGAGGACACACAGGAGGAGGGAGAAATTGGTCTGCCCTGTGTCTGCCCGTGGTCGGTCCATTGCGCGTGCAGTTTTTCGCAAGGCGAAAGAGGCAAGCATCCTTTTCAGACGCAGGACGCGGTGCCTCCAAGTCATGCTATCTATAGCATGGGTACTGGCCGCTTGCTTATCGCAAATTCCGAAATTGTCCAGGTGCGCTCAGTAATCATGCTCATGTCATGAAAAGCACCCGGCCCTCCCGGTTCCCGGAATTGTCGTTTACGTAAAATCAAATCGCTTAACTGCTTGTGCTTGTGAACTGTAACTTCCCACTTGCGCTCCGCGAGTAAGCTTGCATACAGCCGTTGAACCACTCCTACTAGTAAATTTTAGGAATTACGATAAGTATTCTTTCCTCCTTTTCATTTCCGCCCCGCTATCTGCAGTGCAGGATCCTTTAAGTTTGCGCAACTGTAGGCACCATTTCCCGTATAAAAGCCGTGAAAATTTTGTCGATTCGTAGCACCTACGCATCAACGTCGGTAAAGTCATATTATATTAATAATTAATTGTTTACAGAGTGTGTTTATTGTGGAACCATGTTATAGAAGTGTCGCAAGCTCTGCCTAATTGTCACGTGGAGATTAACTGTCGAGAGAAAAAGGGCGGTTATGTACCTTTCGATTTCCGTCAGCGCCAGGAAGCGGAAGCGAAACTGCCGACCATGCTTCAGGCGACTCTGACCAGTCGCACAAAGATTCTCACACTCCGCCACTTCATCCCCAACCATTATCAAATTCGTCAGTTAATCGAAATCTTCGAAATCAATCGTGTATCGTTGTTGTTGTTGTGCCTGAAGGACTGCGAAGTGGACACGGAGTACGCCCTGTATCCGTGGTTCTGGCATCGTAGTGAAGAAGAAATTTCCCAGTGCTGGTCTCACCGCAAAGGTTATGGGGAAATGTCTCGATCGCTTGGGCGCGTGTAGCCGGCAGATATATTGGCCTGTTTCCTGTTGGCGAGCCCGGCAGGAAAGTGGATTTTCTCCCATAAATCTGCCGAACTGCTCCCACAATTCTGCCGACCCGACCTATGCATTGTCTATGGGATCTCCAATATATCAGCCGAACCGGCGCAACAGTGAAATTTGATACTTTTGCTGAGTGCGAGCTGGCAGATGCACGCCCGGGCTGCGTCATATACACATACAGCCGACTAAGCATATTGTACCGCCACTAAACAGGCAGAGAAGCCCGCGCTTTCTCTTGCGCCGTGTCTAATCCTTGCAGGAGAGGACATCATCGCAAAACAAAATTAATTGATGAGTATATTTATATTTTTCCAAATAACTATTCTTCTAACGCATACAAACTGTGAATGCTGTACAATGTACATTTCCTTAGACAACTTTACAGAACTTAAAACTATCAAGCATTTAGTTCCGCAACAGTCACTGTACAAACCAGTTTGGTATGCCTTTATATGCACTGATGAAACTGTAAACGAAATGACAAAGGTTATTGAAACGCCATAAGTACTTTAAGTTTTTCAACACATAGGCAACATGAACATATTTGCAGTTAAATTGGCGATGTCATGGAAAATTTGGGCACCCAAAATTTAAAAAATATTTTACATACAACGACCAATATATTTGCCGAACTGCACCCACATTTCTGCCGACCCAACGCTATGCATTGTCTATAGGAACTCCAATATATCAGCCGAACCGGCACAATAACAGCGAAATTTGACATTCTGCGTAGCGTTAGCCCAACCGGGCTGCAGCATCAGATGCAGCTTCCTAGGGACTGTACCGACACCGAAATTAGAGAAGCGTTTTCTCTTTATTAATGCAGTGTATAATTTTTACAAATGAACGCTACAATTGCCTGTGCTGACTGTTTGTACTGGCACCGGGCAACCGGCATCCATACTGATCGTTGTAAACCGTAATTAATTGTTTTCAAAGCACTTAGATGTTATCTTTTATCTGCAAAATTTTATTTCATTCCATTGTGGAGGCTGCGTTTATTATCTGCTATCCTTTGAGAATTGTACCATTGCATCCGTTTACAGTGTTGTTTTTTTTCAAATTCGCTAAGTAATACACTGCTCATAGTTAGTGCTGTTGACAAATAAACAGTTCCAAGTACTGTACTGTTTCTGCACCCACAGAGGACACACACGAATTTCTATTTTCCATCTGAGCTGATCTTAGAAGGTCATACATGTTACACGACTGAAAAGAAGTATCGGAAGAAGAACTTTCCACTACTTCCTTAAATTTTGCGGCTGCAAAGGCTGCATCCAAACTTTTCTTTTTTTGCACGGCGTTCTGGAATGCAGCTAGTGTGAAACGTTTGGATCGGGCAATTTTTATATCGGCATTTGATCACTTTCTTAGCGGAAGTTGGTGCAGGCAATCTGCAGCTGCATATGATTGGAAACCGATGGGTAAATCGTTGGGGATCGTCGCATGCCTCCAATAAATTTGTCTGGACTTCGGTGCAAGGGAACGGCGCCATGAACTTGTTCACGACACAGTTGTGAAGGTGCTGACGCATCTATGCGAAGAGAGCATAATAAATAAAATGCTTTTAGGGGCGCTTAGTTCAGTTTTTGATTTGAAAAACCTTGTATGCTAAATTTTTATCTCAGCAGAACGGCTGACTGGAAATAGGCCTCTAAAATTTTGCAAGTTCGGAAACAGTACAAGGAGCGTTCAAAAAATAATTCGGCATTTTTGTGTACCGGCAATCTGGCATGACAGGCGTTAGTTATATAAACCAGAAAAGCAATGTTTGGATACGCTTTCCAAAAAAAGTTTCGTGTTTGGTAAGCGAGTGTATTAACGAAGTTCCGAATAGTTACCTCATCCTTTTCGAACACGATTTTGCTCAGGTCCTGTTCGTAACAAACAGATGTGGCAGAAGCCACTGCGTAGAGTCCACAATCGATATGATTTGGCTGTTGGTCACAGGGCTGCAGACGTATTTCGATTTCTTTAGCAGTAGTGTTAGCCAGAGCTGCACTTATTTTCATAAGTTCCGAGTCTTTGGCTTTTCCCATTTCAAGCGCCAAGCTGTCAAAAACATTTACAATAAAGGGTGACTTTCTTCCGGCTTGCTGGCCGATCCCTTGGAGCACAAGGAAATGGTTGCGGTGAACAAACGCAATTTGCAGAAATTTGCGATCCTTAAAGAATAAAGAACGCCGGGTTGGTGACAATTCGCCTTTGTCGTCCAAGACTTCTATTGGGTGTAAACCATCAATATGCGGAAACTGAGCTTTCAAAATTTCTAATACTCCAGAAATTATGAAAGTTGTCAGAGGCTGCTTTGGTGCAA